TTTGTCGACATTTTTATGCAACCTATCTTCGCTTCCTGCCCACCGTGTGCTGGGTGTCGATAACGATGTCTAGGCTTACCTGAAACATACAAACCGTGCTAATTTAGTTGGTGGTGAAATCAAGTCACTGACAACTTGAAATTGAAAAAGCGTTAAAACTTTAGCAACGAAAATTTTTGCACAATTGGCAGTTATTCGCAATAAAGAGCCAGTCTAAAAGGATGAAGAGCATATAAGAACTCGTCGACCTAAATATGTTCTAGCAAAATGAATGCCGTTCTTGTCTTTTTCTGAAAAAGTTTTTTGAGAACTTATGGTAACTGAATACATATAACTAAATACTTCACGAAAATGATCCTAAGATAAGAGTAATTAGTAATTTTTAGCCTATAAATCCTAATTATGATTAAGATTGATGTCTTATTCAATTACTAATTAGAAAAACACATAAAAAAGTGTTGTGCGGTTCTACTATACAAATACTCCTCTATGCATGGTAGAGAATACCAACCGTTTAGCCTAAAAAAAGAAAAAATGTGACTTGATAGAACTTTTCATGCTAATTTCAACCATACCAAGATTATTTGGCTCCAGTAAAACCAAAAGCCAATACAAGAGGTTAAACTTAAACTTTTCTAATTTTTATATTTATAATATCTCGGAAAATATTTGATCGATCATAAAAGTATTGACGCTAATTTAAATACCTTTTACGTGACGTATATAGCATGGGCGTAGCCAGGTAGGGGCAGGTAGGGGCAAATGCCCCAACCTAAGCCAAATGTCCTCGAAAAATTCTGCGTTTTTTAAGAAAAAATTAATCTTTGTCCTCGAGGACATTTAGAGAAAATGCTGAAACAACGAGGACTTTTCAAAGAGTATTCTCGCAAAAAACGAGGAGAATTTGGGAAAAAAGCGGAAAAACGCGAGTTACGTCCCCACATCACCCCAACAACAACAATAGCTAACTTCAACACCCTTCGTCATTCAACAACAACAGACAATGACACCCACATCACCCATAGCAACAGCAGCAACCAAAGCAGAACAAGAAAAGACGTTACACAGCTACAACACACAAGATACGTCACCCACACCACCCATAGCATCCCAACAACAACAACGACAACCACATCAGCCATAGCAACAGCAGCAGCCAAAGCAGATCAAGAAAAGCCGTTACACCACACATCACTGATATCTACCCTAACAACAACAACCAAGGTCGACGCAATCTTCAACACCCAAAACAAATTCAACGTCGAAGAAGATGTCGATCATTAGACGATCAATAGGTGCAGACAAACACACATAAAGCGATGTAAATTTGATAATAAACTCATTCATTCATTCATACTTCTACCACGAAGTAATTAAACAAAGTGTTTTTTTAGAAGTTCAGTGGAAATATAAGTGTTAAGTGTTTATAGAAACATAACTCGCGCTCAATCGTTGACTCGAATGCCTCTACCATCGCAACGAAAAAGATGCGGTGGGTTTCAACATCGCATTTCTATTGCAAACATGACTTTAGGTAGATATACAAGATACTTTTGAGCGCTTTTGATTTAAAAAAAAATTACGGTATTGCTTGTGCACAATAATTTTTTTTGGATTTGTATTTGGGTATCGCAATATCTACACAAAAGACCAGCCATCGCAACGAAAACTTTGCGATGTTTGGGTTAAAAAAAAATTATTGTGCACAAGCAATACCGTAATTTTTTTCTAAATCAAAAGCGCTCACAAGTATTTTGTATATCTACCCAAAGTCGTGTTTGCATACAACAAGTGGTAATAAAAGTGGAAGTGTGAATACTAATTGATTTTATCGTTGTCTTGTGATATCAATTTTTTCTTCGCTTTGTGAACATCAATTTTTAGTTTTTTTGTAATGGATAAAGAAAAAAAGAAAACCTCATGGGGTAAATTGTGGACAAAAAAATATCCATGGATTAAAAAGGCAAGTGAGCATTCGGCGTATTGCACATATTGCAAAACTACTTTCAGAACCGACAACAAAGGAGACGCTATTACAGAACATGCTAATGGCAAAAACCATAAACTACGTGCAGGAGGAGTGCAATCATTTTTTAGTAAGTTTCTGTTTATTATATTTGGTTTTTCCAAAATTAGTTCAAAGTATAGTAATAAATCTCTTAATTGCTCCGTTCCATAAATTTCAAATTCATCAACAAAAAACTGATCCCTCGGAGCCAAGCATGCAAGAGCTGAAACCAATGACAAACCAAATCACAATAGTCCAATATATATTTCTTGACAAAGGACATGATTTTGATTGGCGTAATGTTAAAGTTTAAGATAAAGAACATAGATATTTTAAGAGAAGTGTTTCTGAAATGATTTTTATTAAGAGGACCAATAATACGATTAATAAACAGGATGATACCAAGAATTTGAATTCAATTTACGATAAATATTTGGGAATGTTTTAGATCCATTATTTTCTTTTTATTTTGAGGTTGTTGATTTTTTGGTTTGCTTACATGATAAGGTTTCGAAAGTAATTGTGGGCAGTGATTATTGTTAGTTCCGTTTCAAGGCTCTTTGAATGATGACGTATTTATCGTCTTTCTAAATTTTACGCTTTTTTCAAATCACCGACTTCAACTCCTGCACACCCGGCTCCGAGGGATCAGTCCCCTGTTGATGAATTAGTTCAAAGTGTTTTGCGATTTATACTTTTGAAATGTGCGTATATTTGTATAGAACCGGTTGCTGCTCCACTGTCGAGCCAAAGTGAAGCTGGCACGTCAAGCCAAAGTGATGCTGTCACGTCAAGTCAAAGTGAAGCTGAAGTGTCGAATCTAAGTGCGAGTGCAGTGCAGATAAATGAACCTGCTGATGCAATGGAAACAGAATTACGATGAGAATACCGATTTCACTGAAATGCACGAAACAACTAGCGAAACAACCGAAACCCACGAAGAAGATTCAATTCCAATGGATGATTCAACCATTGACACAACTGAAGTCATTTCCGAATTCGACTTGGGTCTATTTATGAACAAGCCATTATCATCAGAGCAAAGATCTCTGTTATTAAAAAGATGTTGGGTACCACCACAAGACTACGATTTTGCAGTAGACTCCGATGATTCAAAACGAAACTTTCTCCACAATTGGTTACAAGTTTATAAACCTTGGCTTGTTTATTCAAAGAAAGAAAAGGGCGCTCTTTGCTTACATTGCGTTCTATTTCATAAATAAAACTACAGTGCAAGGCTTTTTAGGCGCATTCGTTGTTAAGTCATTCACCAAATACAAAGATATGCACGAATTGAGCAGAAATCACGCAAGAAGCAAATGGCATCAAACTTCAATGAAAGCTGCTATTGAATTTACAACTGCCAAGCCAGTGGACCTACAGATGGTAACAGGACGTCAGAAGTTAATTGAAGAAAACAAGAAAATAATCCGTTCGATCATATCAAACATAATTTTTTGTGGAACAACCGATTCACCATTAAGAGGAAAAGACGAAGATTCCAGTAACATATTTCAGATTGAAATTGATCATATTTTCGTCTTTTGATAAAATTCTATAATATTTTTAGGAATATTCATGGATCTCATTCGCTTGAGAATTGAGGCCGGAGATGAATCTCTTAAAAAACACTTTGAAAAAGGACCAAAAAATGCGAAATACACCTCACCAGAAATTCAAAACGAGATAATTGCATTATGTGGCGAGGTAGTGAAAGATATGATAATTGCTGACGCTAAAAAGGCATCAGCATACAGCATTTTGGCTGATGAAACAGCAGATATATCAGGAAAAGAGCAACTGTCATTGGGTATTCGATTTTACGACAAAAGCCAAGCAAAACTACGAGAAGAATTCATGGGTTTCTCTGAACTAAATGCGATGGACGCTCCAACAATTGCAGATGAAATTGATCACGCAGTCGTGAGCTGTGAACTTGAACCGAACAAATGCGTTGGGCAAGGGTACGATGGCTGCAGTGCTATGGCCGGAAAAGAAGGAGGCGTTCAAGCACATATCCGAAAAAAATACAAAAAAGCATTGTTTTTCCATTGCGCAAGCCACACATTGAACCTTGTTGTTAATGATTTGAACACGGTCCCGGAAGTACGAAACACTATTGGCACCATCAAAGACATAATAAGATTTTTCCGAGAATCAGTGCTACGGCGAAAGTGTGCTCCGAACATACCCGCCCTTTGTGAAACTCGTTGGTCTCAAAAACATAAGAGCATTGCTGTTTTTAAAGAAAATTTCGTTGAGATCGTGAACGCATTACTGACTTTATCCACCGAAGGCAATGCAAAAACTCGATCAGCTGCATTTCAGCTACACTCTGCAGCAACGAAACCTGTATTTATCATATGCACTTCAATAATTGCCAAATATTCGGATATTCTTGAGCCTGTCGTGAATGGTCTTCAATCTAAAGGTCTTGACCTGCTCAAATGCAAAGACCATCTTGATAGAATAGCAACTGTTATCTCTAGCCATCGAACCGCTGTAGATGCCCTGATTGATGAAATTCTAGACGAGGCAAAAGAAATAGCGAAGTCGATTGATATTGAATTGGATATGCCCAGACTAACCCAACGACAGCAGCATCGTTCAAATCAACCTGCATCGAATCCAAATGATTATTGGAAAATATCGTTGCTAATTCCGTATTTGGATTCGTTGATATCATCGCTTGCAAATCGATTCGCGTCATCCAATTTGCCTGCATTTTCACTACTCACATTGCATCCATACATTATGTTGAAAAAAAGTATTGGCGATTTGAAAGAAGACATCAAGCCATTTTCAGAATTTTATGAATTGGATCTAAGTGCAGAAATTGAATTATGGTATAACACTTGGAAAGACAAACAGCTTAGTGGAGTAGCGATGAAAATTTGGAAGTGTGCGACGTAATCACGGAAGCGGACACCTTTTTTCCTGCTGTATCACATGCATTGGAAATATTATTGGCACTACCTTGCACGACTTGCACCGTAGAAAGGTCGTTCAGCACTTTGCGGCGTGTTAAAACCTGGCTAAGATCAACCATGGGCGAAAATCGACTAAATGGTAAAGTTTTAGAAAATTAATTTGATTCATTTCATATGATAACGATGTTTTTATTTTTTTCAGGACTATGCATGCTCAGTGTGCATCGGAAAATGGTAAAGGAAAGAAAAACCGAAATAGTAGATGAAGTCCTCAGGAAATTTGCTGAAAATCTCAGAAAATTGGTTTTATAAAACGCGAAATCAATGGTAAAAATTTATAAAATCAATTTGATTCGTTTCATATACTAACGATGTTTCTCTATTTTGAGAAACCAAAAAATGATACTTTTAAAGTATCTCTCAATATTCTAGTCAATAAATATGTCCTACTTTTTTTTTCAAAAAAATGCCCTCATTTTTTCATTTATTTTTGAGAAATTGTCCTCGAAAAAAGACCTAAAAAATTTCCTGGCTACGCCCATGGTATATAGTATAAGTTTGTAAAACAAGTTTTAAATAATCGTCATTTAAAAAAATATACTTATATATTTTTTGGTCATTAGGTATTTCTTCTTAAAAATATAAATAAAATAATATAAAAAAAAATAAAGTAGTGTATTTATTAAAAGATTTTTTAGCATTAGAGTTGAGTAACTCCTTTCACTTAATGGCTTGAAGTAACTTTAACGAGACCTTAACTTATTTTTTTTATTCATTTTAGTGCAGTTTTCAAAAAATTTTATTGCTATAAAATCTTTTAATACACTACTTTATTTTATTCCTTTGATTGTACATGTTAAATAAAAGCTTGTTTTTAAAAAATATTTTTTTTTACATTATTTTATTTATTATGATTTTTTTGGACCAATCTTAAAAGAATTACTAGACATAAAAGAAGAAAGTTTGCACTGTAATTTTAAACCAAATTGTCGTGATCATTTCAAATGGGGCTCTTTAGGGAATTTATTGTATGCAAAATTTTAAAAAACACTATTTGTTTACTTGTCGGACAATATTTTTTTCATAGGGCGTGTGTGAATCGGTAACGAAGTTCTGACAGCCTTCCCCTGTTGAATAATATTTTTACTATGGTAAGACAGTTTTGCCAATCTGCTGTGTGAAAGGAAATCTTATTTGACAGCAAAAAATTTTTAATAACCGCAGATTTATTCGGAATAAACTATTACAAATTGAAGTGGAATTAATATTTTAAGAAAACATCTACCATCATTGATTGCAATTCATCAATTTAAGCTTTTGTTTTACGAAAAATTACAAAAAGGGAACAATCTTTGCGATTGTCAAAATTTGCTATGCATTTGTCAAATATAATAGGGGTATTCTCCAAATCTTGCAAAGCCATTGCACGTAGCACGGATTGCACGGATTGCATAAATTGCAAACACACAACAAGAAAATTCATGGGAAACAACATTTCCTATCGCTGCAAAATATGCAACGTCGAAACCCATGTATATATTTTGCAAAATAGCATAGCAAGATAATAGCGACCCTGTGCTAGTTGTTTTGTTGTTGGAATTGCTACATATTTCTCTCATTCCTCTCATCTCGCTCACTTAATTTTTTTTTGCTGTCTCTTGTTATTGTATTTGATACATAATTTCGCTGCTTGCTCCCCATGCATGCTACCTCTTTGCAATGGGGTGTTCTCGTACTCTTCGAAATTTGGAATAGTATTTTTGCATTTCGTGCAATCCGTGCATCGTGCAAGACTTCGAGAATACCCCTAATATAAATATATAAATTCACTAGCCTCATGAGCTACTGAAATTTTATTCACCTCATTCATGTCAAAAATTTACTTGCCGCGAACTTTGTTACCGATTCACACACGCCCCTAGAGAAATA